TTTTTTTTTTTTTAAAGTCCCATCTCTTTGCTGTTTGCAAGAGACTCATCTTATAGGCAAAGATATCCCCAGGATGAAAATGAAAAGATGGAAAAGATATTTAATAGAATTGGAAGGCAAATAACAAGCTAGAGTGACTAATATATGCCATATTTGAAGCAAAAGTTAATCAAAAGAGGCAATGAATGTCACTTCATACTGGTAAAGGGAACAATCCAAAGTAGATATAATAAATATATATGCCCTAAACATAGGTGCAACTAATTATATAAAGCAAACACTGCTTGACATAAAGACACAGACATACCCCAATATGTTAACACTGGTGATTCTAATACACCACTCATAGGTCATCTATACATAAAATCAATAATTTCATTTCTGGACTAAATAATAGAATAAGTCAAATGGACCTAACAGATAGATACCTATAGAACATCTCATCCACAATGGCTGCATTTACTTCTTCTCAGCTGCTCATGGAACATTTTCTGAAACAAATCATATATTAGTCCACAAAGCAAGCCTTAGGAAATTTTTAAAAATGGTGCCATCCCTTGCATCTTATCATATCATAATGGAATGAAATTAGAAATCAATATCAAAAATTATAGAACTAACATAAACATGTAGACAAAACAATGTGATTTTGAAAAAAGGAATGGATCACATAAGAAATGAAGAGAGAAATTTTAAAATGCATATAATAAAATGATAGTAGTAATACAATGTATCAAAATGCCTGAGAAATTTTGAAGGCAGTTCTAAGAGGAAAGTTTATAGCATTAATTGCCTACATTAAAATAGAAATCTAATGTTACATCTCACATCCCTAGAAAAGCAGGAACACATTAATTCCAAAACCAGTAAAAGACAGAAAATAATTAAGGCAAGAGCCAGAATTAATGAAATAGATTTTTAAAAAAAGAATTAATGTAATTAAGAGTTGGTTCTTTGAAGATATAAATGAGATTGACAAACTCTTATCCAAACTAACCAAAAGGAATAGAAGACTCAAATAAACAAAATTAGACATGAAAATGGAGATATCACCACAGGTATTTTTGAAACTCAGAAGCTCATTAGAGACTATATTTAAAACTTACATTCCAATAAATTGGAAAATATAAAAAATATCAACAAAATTATATATACATGTGACTTATCCAAATTAACAAAGAGGATATAGAAAACTTGCATAGACCAATATTAGTCAATGAGATTGAAGCAGTTATAAAAAAAAAAATCTTCCAACAAAGAAAAGTTCAGGGCAAGATAGCTTCTCAACCAAGTTCTACCAGATCTTTATAGAAGAACTTAAGACAAGCTTCCTCAAATTATTCCATGAAATAGAAAGGAAAGAAACACTCCCAAATACATTCTATAAAGCTACTATCACTCCTGATTCCAAAAACAAAGACACGTCAAGGATAGAGGACTACAGATGAATATCCCTAATGAGTAGAGACACAAAAATCTTTAACAAAATATTACCAAACAACATTCAAAAACGATTAAGATTATACACAATGATAAGTTAGGTTCATTCTGCAGATTCAAGGTTGGTTCAATGTATGCAAATGAATAAATATAATAATATAGAATTAAGGACAAAAATCACAGGATCATCTCAATGAATGCTGAAAAAAATCTTTGACAAAATGTCATTCTGGGAATCAACGTAAGCATTTTACCAATGTTTAACATTATAAGCTTAACCAAAGGAATAAATGGCCGTTCTTACAGAAAGAAAGTCCATGAAGATTCTCACACACTGATACTGAGGGGCAGAGCAGTGGAGGATTCAAATGAATAGTGTTGATTTCAGCAGAATGCCAGTGCTTGCTTGGGCAGGATTCACAACCATTCTTCAGACAGCACATCCATCTGAATGCTCCTCCACCTCAAAGCAAACAAAATGCTTTTGGTGTATTTACTTGACTTTATTGTTAGAGAAGACATTTCATAGCTACAATTACAGTCAAGTGTTTATGAAATGTGTGTAAACTTAATGTTTAAAAGTTCTCAACAAATTTTACTTGAAGTCTTACTATCTTCTCTTTATATAAGATGAATGGGTATATTTTGTCCGTATAAGTAATACATAACCTGCTTCCTAAAAGCTTCCTTAAAGCCCCTCATGTTCACATAAAAATGATCCTTCTGAAGTCCAATTATCCATGAATTAGTATTCTGTTCCACAGTTAGTATGAGGACAGGGACATAGTGGTACAGCCAGCTCCCTCACCTGGGTCCCCTGAGCTAGTCTGTACAGGAGGGCTTCAGTGTTGCTTGAAGGTAAATTCTAGGCTCTTTATGCACACAGGGATCCAACACATGAGAGTGGTAGTTAATGTTTGCTGAGTACTTGGTAAGTTCCAACCCCTGCTTTAATTCCTTCATCTGTATTTACTTTGTTAATAGTCACAGCAGTCCTTCAAGGAATAGGTCCTGTTACCTGTGTAACTGTGAATGATGCTGAACAGAGGCATTGGTTGAGACACTGTCTAAGGTTACAGATTATCAGAGTTGGGTTTCAAACCCCAGCAATGTGGCCCAGAGCTCTGTGCTCAGCTGCTGTACTGGGCTGCCTCCTTCCAATAGAGCTCAGGCTGGGGAAAGTGTGGCCAGAGACACTCTAACAGCTGTGGCTTTTGTTTCCTTAACAAAATCTGCTCTACAAATAAACTATAAAATTTGCTTCATGCGTGTGTGTGTGTGTGTGTGTGTGTGTGTGTATTAATTAAGGCCATAGGCTATATTTAGTTATTTTTATCATCTACCTACATAGAAGAGATATATTATTTAAGCCCATTAGTTGGATTTAAAATGGTTATAGTAAATACTACTAATAATTTTTGTTTTCTTTGTCCTTAGTTCCATGGTTTAAGCATGAAGAATATAATCTCATCACTAGTTTCTCAATTTTGAACATCCTTCTGTTCTGGGGACAGTTTATTCTTTTAAGTAAGTATTTATTTCTATTTTTTCATTTATATGTTAGTGATAAAATTATCATTTCTAGGAGGCAATATTAGTGAAATATTTAAGTTTCTTAGGAAGAATGTTATTGTGATAGATAAATATATGTTGTTTGAAAACTGTCTCTCAGAAGTATATATTGTCCCCCATTTTTGCTACAGTTAACTTTTAATTCCCAAGATATTAAAAATAATTTTGTTATTTATTTATTTATTTACTATTAACTTATTCATTTTTGGTATTAGGGTTGAACTCGGGCACTTCACCACTGACTTATATCCCCAGCCCTTCTTATTTTTTATTTTTGTGATAGGGTCATGCTAAGTTACTCAGGGCCTCACTAAATTGCTGAGGCTGACTTTGAATTTCTGGTCCTCCTGCTTCAGACTCTCAAATTACTGGGATTATAGGCATGCACCACCATGTCCTTCTAGAAGGTGCTATTTTGTTTTAAGTCTTTAAAGAATGAATAGTGGGACTACTAGTAATTACCATACCTTAAATCATGTAGCATTTTTATATTTACAGAATATTTACCTACATTTTATTTGATAAACAGATGGTCACAGGCTACAGTAGTGTTGAGACAGCGTGATGTGATCCTCTGGAGCCTTAGGATTCCCCTCTCTTCATTTCCCAGTTTGAACTTCTCTGTGGACACATGTTCACCATGGGGAATCCCCGCTGAACCATGTATTGTCACCTTCAACTTGCAGCCTCATAGCCCTTAAGGAAGCAGCCACGGGAAAGCCGTGTTCTTTGATCTCACTTTACTGTGATAGTCATGTAACCAAACCTCAGGGCAAATCTTAATGCTGTGTCAGATTCAGCATCAACAGTCTAGAACTTTCACTACAAGGTAAATAGATTAAATGCATTATGGTTAACTTTCATGTTCAACCACATGGCCGCACCAGTTTGGTAAGGGAAATTTACTAATTTAGTGAAGTTCTGAGGTGACATTCCAAACTTCTTAAATTTTAGATGTGAGATTTATTCCTCATCTCCCTAGAGCACCCTGAAATGATCATTACATGGCCAGTAAACATTTATACAGCGAAGAGTAAATAATGCTATTTAATTTATCAGTGTTAGTCACCTTTTTGTCACTGTGACAAATTCCTGAGAAAAACATCTTAGAGAAGTAAAGATTTATTTTAGCTCATGGTTTCAGAGGCTTCAGTTCACGATTAGCTGACCCTTGTGCTTTGGATCTGATGTGAGGCAGGATATCATGGCAGGAGGATGTGATAGAGGAAAACTGATCAGCTCATGGCAGCCTGGAAAGAGAGCGGGAGAGACGGACAGACAGAGAGAGAGAAGGGGAGATATATGAAGAGGAAGATCTAGGATCAAGATGTAGGTCCCAAGGACAGGCCCCAAGGACCTACTCCCTTCTATTAGGTCCCACCTCCTACACTATCCACCACCTCCTGACACTCCATTTAAATACTGAATCCCTCAATGAATTAATTCACTGATAAGGTCAGAGCCCTCATGACCCAATCACTTCCCAAGGACCCCCACCCTTGAACACCACTGCCTTTGGGGATCAAATCTTTAACACATGAGCCCTCAGGGAACACTTCACATCCAGACCCTAAAAATGTCATGAGTTTTCTTTTCCCTCAGTAGTTGAAGCTGTGTATATTTTTAGTGATATATAAAAGGGGAAGGGAAATGACCGATTGTATATTTTAAAAGCTTTCCGCAATGTATAGTACTCTGGAAATGCTTAGTGATATAGAGACGTTCTCAGGATTTGTCTAAAATATAAAACAGGGTGGGCATGAAAGGCCGACAGTGGCATTGTCAAGACCTCTCTCCTAAGTCTTACGTTCAAGATGGTGTGTAAACGTCTCCTGGAAATTATCCTAGACTTTCAGTAAGGCTTTTATCACAAGAAAAGGTGGCACAGTAGCATCCAGGCCTTTCTTTTATTACTGACATTGGGGAAAGCACTTAAGGGGCAACTCATGACTTGGGCAGGGAATGGATTATTTTTAAAGTGGTGAAATTATTTCACATCAATGTGATTTGCTGTGTTTGAATTGAAAGAGTTTGGTGGTCATGGCATTATTATAAGTGAAATTCTTTTTAGTGATATGAACCAGGAGTGAATCTCTTCACTCTCAGTCATAATTTTTTGTTGTTTATTTATTTTTTTATGTGGTTCTGAGGATGGAACTCATGTTAGGCGAGTGCTCTACCACTGAGCCACAACCCCAGTCTCTTGGCTATAAATTTTTACAAAGTAAACCTCACAATGTTTTTTTTTTTTTACTTAAAAAGGATCACTTTAGAACATATTGTATGATCTAAAAGGTTATAGAAGAAAAAAAATCATCTGAAGTCCTAAAATCTAGACATATACTATTGGTGTGTTCTAATGAATTTCCTGCCTCCTTTCCTTTCTCTAACTATTTTTGCCATCTTTCTTTTAAAACTGTAAATCATAAATGCACTTATATAGTTTATGTACTTGCACATCCTGATTTTCAGGATGTGTCTTTGTAACCCTTATTAGAGCTCCTCTCCACGTCTATAGACGTACAATCATTTGCTTAACTCTCATTTTGATGGATAGTAGAGATTTTCCAAGTTTTTGGTTACTATAAAAATTACTCTGGGCTGGGGTTGTAGCTCAGTGGTAGAGCGCTTGCCTTGCATGCATACGGCCCTGGGTTTGATCTCCAGCACCACATAAAAATAAACAAAGATTAAAAAAAAAAAAAAAAACTCTGCTAACAGTATGTAGGCTGAGATGTGGCAAGACATTTTAAGCTTACTGATTCACACGGCCAGAACCATCTCATCAGTTCCTACCATGGCAGCTGAGAATACCTGTTTTTCACATCACAGTCCTGACATCATTATAATTATAAAATCTGTGCTAATTTAGTGTATGAAAAAGCATTTTGTTTTAACTTGCATGTTTGTGTTTGTGAGCTTGCCTGTTCATTTTTATATTTTTATATTTTTTCTACTACTATATTTTAAGGAACATATTTATGAGACTAAAGGACTATTTTGGTGGAGGTTCATTATTTTGGCACATCTTTTTAAAAAATTTTTTTTTAAAGAGAGAGAGAGAGAATTTTTTAATGTCGCATGCATGCTAGGCGAGCGCGCTACTGCTTGAGCCACATCCCCAGCCCAATTTTGGCACATCTCAAACAAGTAAATGTGGTGACTGTGCACGTGTGGAAGAGGCACTTCCACACTGGGTTCATCCAGCCTGCCCTCCATTTAGAGGCGTTGATCATAATAGTGATTAAGTGTGGAGCCCTTGCCCTGTAGGGCAGGCACTATGCCAAGTGTGCTGCGCCTGAAATCATGTTGATTTCTCCAGGGACTTTGGGTGTATATACTGTGGTTATTCCCATCTTGTAGATGAGAAACTGAGGCACTGATCAGTTGGGCAGTTTGCCCACAGCCACCCAGCTGTTTCCTGGTAGCCCTGGGATTTGAACTGTGCTGCTGGTTTACTGTTACTCTCTACTGCTTCCCCATCTTGAATTTGAGAATTTTCTTTCTGTGAAGGCTAATGCCATGTGTAGGTACATACTCTGAGTAGATGTAACTGTTATTGATAAGCAGACTGTTGACCTATTTTGTTTGTTCTATGAATACCCATGACAGGGTGCTTGCTGACTGCTGGGCACTGGGCTACATGCCTGAGATGTGGAAGTGAGCGCACATCGCCCCTGGCTTGTAGACCTGCATGTCAGTCATTCCAGTAGAGGGGTGGGTGTGTCTGCCTGTGCAACCAACTTTTCTTTTGGAGCCCATTGTAAGAGGCCTCCAGCTTATGGCGTGGGCATCCCACCCAAAAGGGGAGCCCCTGTGTTTTGCACCTGAATGCTTGTGCATTTCTTGGACTCCAAGATGTCATGTCATAGCCCCTGGGGTGTTAACAGTCACTCAGCTCTCTAGCTTTTAATTTCTACATTTCTAGTTCTCCTTAACATTCCTGATGACTATGTATGGTCTCTACTTAACTACATGAGATTCCTCTAAGTGGTTTATCCAGCTCTGCCTGTGAGTCTTTTGTTGTTCAAGATGAAACTCAGACCTATGTGAGGCTGAACTTCCTGGAAGGACAGTGGGTTAGGTTCTCACTTTGAGGAGAAGTTTCTTTACACCAGAGCTGTGTCTTGAGCTGCATCTCAGGGTGCCATTGGTCCTGATGAGGAAGAAGCCTGAAAGACTTAACTCCCAGTCAAGCCAGGACTTGGTGAGCCCCAGACTCCATTTTGAAGACAAAGTTTGCTTATAGGGAACTGATCAATTCCTTCACCTTTGGCTTTAACTCAACGCTTTAGAAAAGAATCTCTGTGCTTAGCAAATAGCTCAGGGCTTACTAGAATTAAGCACTGAAATTTAACCAATAGCATTGTTTTCAAACACTTGGTTTCTGTTCTGAAAACTGTAACAACTCACAATTTGTCACTCCACTTACCATTAAGTTCCTGGTTGATTTCCAGGACTTCTTCATACTTACTCTGGTATCATCAATCAGAAAAAAATCCTACCATTTTTACGAAACCATAGAATACCTTGATGTTGACCCTCCAAAAAACAAAGCAGGAGACATATACTCTCCGACTTCAAAATATACTATAATAATCAAACAGTGTGGTATTAAGAAAACAAATAAACAAACAAATAAAACCAGACATATAGATCAACAGGACAGAAAAGAGAATCCAAAAGTACACTCACACATTTATAGCTAATGATCTCTAATAAAGGAGGTAATAACATACACTGGGGATAATTTAGTGACTTCAATAGATGATTATGGATAAACTGGATATCCTGGTAAAAAATAATGAAACTAGTCCTCTATCCCTCACCATTTATAAAAACCAGTTTAAAATGGATCAGGCTTAAATTTAAAACCCAGAAATATGACCTACTAAGAAAAATCATAAGGAAAACACATCAGGACATTGAAGAGGTAAGGATATTTTGGATAGGGC